CAGTTGCTAAGCCTGTTTTTCTGTGTGGTACTTCTGTGTCAGAGGGAGAGAATGAGTGTTTGCTTGCCAGACAACACAGTAGAAAAATACAGACAACAATGTCAGGAAAAATACTTTTGTCCACATTATTTACCTGCATCAGTCATCATTTGTTCCATTTTTTTCCATCTCATCGTTACATTTTTTCACTGTTTCATTCTACCTACCAGTCTTAACATTGTTTTATTATGCCTCTGTAAAGACAAAGTGTTTACAATCAGTAGCACTTCAATATGAGAAAAAGTGTAATGGAGAAATTAAAATAGCACAATACAGTCCGTGTTCTTATTAATCCAGGAAAAATATCCTGCTTGTTGCTCCTTGCACTGGAGTTCTTAAAAAATACATCTGCTTGGCAGCAATCCAAAATACAACCAGCCTAAAGCAGTCTATAGAGAAGAAGAGGGAAAAATAATAATCATTGGATACTTGGTCTGGAAAAATATATGTAATGATCTTCCCAATGCCTTAGAAGGAACCAAAACAGGGGCAAGCAGACTGTTCCAAAGATAAAAGCTCTCCTTTGAGTTGATCAGAGGAAAGCCTTTAAAAATCAATACATTCCTGCTTCAGTCCTGAATTCCCACAACAAATGGAGCTGTTGACCCAGCTTCTTTACAATCTTTTCACAGTATAATAGAAGAAAGAAGCATCCCACATTCAGATGCCTAATCCCATCTCAGGAGAAATAATGTTGATCTACTTAAATCTGCAGAGTACAAAAGGCCACTTAGAAATGTCACTTCTGAAATTTCAAGAAGCAATAATTGACAAAGACATGATCTGTTTAACATGGTTGTCTGGCATTAAAAAAATGCATCATTACTTTGAAAATAAATTTAAGTTTCTAAACACTTACTTCTTCAGGTGTAATTACTCCAGTTTCTTTAAATTTGGATTCCTGCAAGAAAAAAAGGTATAGACATTTTGAGAATTGCTGGCAAATCAACACATTCCACTTTACTGGAAAGACAAACATCTTCTCTACTTTCGTTTTTGCAACTAGTTCTGTCACGAGATCCAAGAATCAGCCTGGAGGCAACTTCTGCCATGACTGATAGGCATCTTACACTAGAAAATAAGGAAATAAGGCTCCCCAAAATTACTTGTTGCAAAATACAAGGTATTATGAAAAATGATCACCTATACAAAATGAATTTTTTTGCTACTACCAATAATAGCAATAATGAAGATGACTGGCACTCAGTATTACGCTTGCCAGTAAGGAACAGAAAATCAGCTGGAATCAGTGATTCTAACTGTCAAGGACTCCAGAGTTCTAGGCATTGAACAGCACTGCATTGCATCGATATGAGGTTTTGCAGTTAAGAAAAGTAATGAATGAAAGACCACACCAAGTCTTCTCTGGGGTAGAAAAAGTTAAATACAAAGACTTAGTAATACACTCTCTTTTAATGCTCATTTCTGTGCCTTCATCATGCACCCCACAGAAACGGCTTCACTTTTTGCATATTGTAGTGGGGAGTTTTGTGAATGAAAGATTAGATGGCAAGCAGACACCAGACTTACTCTGCATGGAGAAATGAAGTACTTTGGCATGAAAGGCAATATTTATGAAGCTTAAGGATAACACGTGTTGTACCATATTCAAATCTAGACTAAGTGTATTATGTTTTGACTTCTAGTTGTTTATGTAGAAAAGCCTCAAGTACCAAGATATCCTACTGTTCCCCAGCATCAGAATTATCCAAAACTGGCTTTTGAAAAAGAACACAATTTCAATCATGTCATAGCTGACTTCTTGCCCTAAGGAACCTATTTTTTTTCCTATCAAGACTGAAAGCATAAACTGAAAAGCTCTTGCTTCCAGCCACAACTTCACCACATTCAATCAGTTGTAAAACACTGAAGCAGCCCCAGCTAAACTTGGCTGCTCTTGTTCCTTCCCCCAGTGTGTGCTATCACCTGTGCTACAGAAAATGAAAGGAGCACACCTGTTTCATATGGTACTGATTACTGCCTTTCTGCCTCAGTTCTAAGGAAGATACACTTAAGAACAAGATAAAGATAGGAAAAATAGCAGCTGTACAAACATTGTAACGTTGTTATGTACTAGCTGACTGAAATCAAAATACTTTTAATTGCTATAAAACTCAGAGTCCTCAATAACGCATTGTGCAACACCATAGTGGAGACAACTTAGTGGTTCCCCTCAAAATGAACCATAAGCAGAAGGGAACATGCACAAACTTGTGTTTCTGAAGTTACAGAAAGAAAACACGTAAAATATCCATCCTCCATTCCCTGAGGGTAAATAGTTCATTTTTCCATCTAAGTAAATTCTTCAATTGTGAAAGACACAGGTTTAGTTTCTTTCAAAAGTTACCAAGTTGGAGTATTTCTTTCCCCCTTGCAAAGGGAACATATGCGCATAATATCAGCACCTTCCATTTCTGGAAGGTTCTATTCCTGCCTCCTCCCAATAATCATCTGGACACAATTAGTGAATTTGTCCACTATTAAATCAGCTGTGCAACAACAACTGTACTATCCTAAACAACTCACTTCACCTTCCCATGCCACTACTTCACTGCAACCCATACAGTTCACATTGGTGGGCAAGTTTAGGAAGGTCCACTATCCAGAAAAGAGCATCCCACATACCACAGAGGGACAAGTTCAATTAATAATTGACTGTCACTGCAGTCTGCCCAGAGATGTAAGCTGCACGGTGCAGTGCACATTAAAGGTCAAACCACAAAGCCACAGGCAAGAGAAATTTGTCATAAATAAGTGCTTTTTCGAAAGCAAGCAGAAGTATCAAAATCAGTAGTGAAAAAAATGCTGCCAAGTTAAGCACTTGTATACAAATTTGGAGTTTACATAAAAAATTGTTTGTAAGTAAGTCAGAGAATGGGACGTAGTCTAACAACTGCATAAAACCCTAATTTGTTTCTACCTAAATATGCAGTAACAGGAACTATAACAGATGTGCTGCCTACCTTTATAATGACCCAACGGCTCATTTCTGCTATTCTCTGATACTTTGGTGCACAGAAGCTTGCATTAATACCGAAATTCTGACATAGGAATAAGCTGTACTATGTAAAACTTGCTCACATAACGAAGGTGTGGCTAATTTTGTTGGTGTGGATTTTTTTCACGTCAGCTGAAAAAGTTGCCCTTTACCCAAAATAACCATTGCAACGTAATTCTCGAAACCAGGCTCAAGCCTATCTGTACGTTCGGATTTCAATTCCTGGACACGCAACCAGGTAGAAGTTTCGTGACTTCCACACAAAACAGCAACAACATTTAAATCATTGCTCGAGAAGCAGGAGCAGCAACATCTGTTCTTCGAAGGGCGCGCCCCTCCCAGACGGATGCTCCCCCCTCCCAGTGGGATGTGAGGGCCGGCTGGGGTTCCCCCTATCCCCTCCGGCCCGGACAGGGATGAGGGCCGATGGTTGTGCCGGCACGCCCTGCACCGCGCCCTTCGAGACCCGCAGCCACGCAGCTCCTGGGGCCCGGCCGGCAAGGGCACCGACAGCCGGCTCCCAGGGCTCGGGCAGGGAAGCGCGCCCGCAGGCGGGGGCGGCCATGGGTGTCCCTCCTCCCATCTCGGCTCCCGCGCAGGACCGGCACCTTGAGCACAGGCGTGAGGTACTCGGCCACCTCCAGGGCCTTCCCCTTCACCGTGTTGATGACGTTCTGCATTGCGGCGGTCGTCGGACAGACGGACAGCGGCCACCCCCCCACCCTCGGCACGGCGCTCCCGCGGCCGCCCCTCACGTTGCCACCGCCCCACCGTCACACGCTCGTGACGACACACGGTGCGCGCGAGCAAGGCGGGGAGGGGCGGGGCTGCGTCTCACGCGGCCGCCGGGGGGCGAGCGCGAGCTGAGGGGGCGAGCGCCCGGGTGCCCCGAAGTCAGGGGGCGGGGCCGGGCCCTTGGAGCCGACGTGAGGGAGGAGGGCGCGCGCGTGCCCGCGCGGGGCGGGGCAAGGCAAGGTGGGGGCGCGCGCGTGCGGCCCCGCCCCGCCCCGCCAGGTGAGGCCGGGGGGGGGGGGGGGGGGGGGGGGGGGGGGGGGGGGGGGGGGTGAGCCGGGAGTGGGGGGAAGTGCTGAAGGGGTTTCGTGCGGGACCCCGGGCGGGACCCGGGGGGAGCCTAGCCCTGGGCGGTGGGGATGAGCGAGGGGAACCATGCTGCTGCAGCCTCCCGGGATCTGGTGCGCCTAACCGCGGCGTCCAAGCACCCGGTGCTGCTGCCTCGGAGCCCCGCTCGCCCCGCGCGGCCGCCGCCCCGCCGCTCGCGGCTGCAGCTTGGAGCAGCGACGTGGCAGGAGGCGGTCGGCAAAGCCCGGCGGGTGTTCCCCCTCCGCTGCGGAGGAGGTGGTGAGCTGGGTGTCCCCCCGGATCCGGTTCGCCGCTCTCTGGCCGCCCTGCCGGCATGGGACGCAGCCCAGTCCGCAGCTGGCCTAGAGGGGCTCTCCCTCCCCGCTTCTCCCTCGGCCGGCTGTTGAGGGCCCTGGGGCCCGTTAACGGATCTGGCGAGTAACGGCGGCGCCGGAGGCGGAGGACGCGGCTCCGGTGCTTGGCTCCGGCTGCCCTGTGCCTCCCCCGCCGCTGGGAACGAGCCGGTGCCAGGTCAACTCTAAGGGGTTGGTCTTGCTCCGCTGCTGTAGCGCTTCTTCTTGCTGGGATTTAGGAGCAAGAGCACTTAAAAATATATTAAAGAAAAATAAGCGTGTGAAATATTTAATCCTTTTAGCTAATCCATATGCCGTAGCTTGCAGACTTCTCAGGAACCAGCCTCCTTGTGCCACCTTCAGGGTCCCTGTGAATGCATCGTTTGTCCCCCTTTGACGGTCCTTGTAACATATCGTTCTCTCGAGGGTGACCTTATTCCCCTCTACCTGAAAGGAGGATGTAGCCAAGTGGGGGGTCAGCCTCTTCTCCCAGGCAACCGGCAACAGGACAAGAGGAAACAGTTTTAAGCTTTGCCATGGGAGGTTTAGGTTGGACATCAGGAAGAATTTTTTCACAGAAAGGATGATTATATATTGGAATTGGAGATGATGGAGTCACCATCTTTGGAAGTGTTTTAAGGAAAGTCTGGACGTGGCACTTTGTACCATAGTCTAATTGGCATGACGGTGTTCGGTCATAGGTTGAACTCGATTTTTTTGTTAATAAGAAAACAATTGTTGTAGAATAAGATCATGACTTGTTCTGCAATGTAAGCATCTTTATGTAACACAAAGCAGTAAAATACACCTATTTTGCTGTGTGTAGCCAGTTTCTGGAAGTACTGTTTACAGTGTTTTTTTTATCCTGCCATCCGAAGGCACTGACAGTGAGGCAGCAGAATGAAGCTGGAGTGGTGTAGTCGATTTGCTCTTTGCTCCAAGACAACCAGCCAGACCTTTCTGCTTGGAGGAGTGTTCATTGCGTTGGGCTCAAGTCGAATCCTCCTGATGAAGTATTCTGCTAATGAAGGTACTATTGGGCAATACCTGTGATGTACCTTGAATAAGGAAGTGTTAATGTTTGGGCTAAAACATATCAAAAAAACCTACTTCACCTGCAGAGTTCTTTGCGTAAACATCCTATTATCTTTATAGGGACGTGTGTTTCTGCACTGGAAAATTTCTGTCTAGCCAGTGGTCTACCATGAAGGTATAACTTGCATTGCAAGGTGTATGATGTACCTTTAAAAGATGAGGCAGGTGATTTATTTTATAGCTAACCCTTTAAGGACAAGATTGTTGTGTAGGCACAATTGATGGTACATGATTTGATTGAAATGTTTTTCTTGTAACAGGCTTAGGAGAGAAGTGATTTCCTAGTGGGTGTGCTAAAACTGGCTGGTATTGCCAGTCCTAAAAGAAGGTTACTTCATCCTGGAAAGCATTTTTTCGTGACAGTTAAAAAATACCATATTGGTCCTTGGGGAAATCTTTCCCATTTTAATTTGTTTTTAAAGCAGCCATGTCCTGAAGTTCTTCCAAAAAAGTTCTGCTGTAAGTAAGCTGGGACTAAATGAAAAGAGATTTCAGCTCAGAAAAGAGGCTAAGTTGTATATCGTAAACTTTGAAACATTTATGACAGAAGTTCTGACAAAGCCTTTTGTGACTAAAATTGTGATTGGAATGGTTAAAATAGATTCTTGCTCTAATTATGAATGCAGGAGACATAAACTGATTGTGTACTCTCTGATTTGCTGGATCCCACAGATAACAAGTATGATTATCTTCCTACAACAGTGAACATGTGTTCTGAAGTAGTAAAACTGGTCCTATGTGTAATGTTGGCATTCTGGAATAGAAAAAAAGGTAAGTACCTATGTTTTAAATAACTAAAATTTGTTGACTTTCTAAGATTTGCTCTCCTACAAACATTTTTTTAACAGCAGATGACACTCTCTACTTGCCACAGGTTTTGCATTGCAGGTGATTTTTGTTTTTTCCTTCTTTTCTGTCCCGATGTAAAAACTATGAGAGATTAAATTCTTAGCATTTCAAAATGGTACAGAACAAATACTTAAATGGGAAGTAGGTGTCAGGCAGTGTAGGTTCGTGTTAAATTGAACTGTTGGTTTTATCTAGTTCTTCAGGAAACAGTCATGACTCTGGCAAGCTAGTAAAATTTTGACCTTCACTATTTAATAGAGTTACCTAAGACAATAAATATATTCAATCGGTGTTTGCCGTCATTGCCTACTGCTGATTGCATGTTTTCTGGCTTTCTTTCTTTTTTCTATCTTAATTTTTTTATCCAGACGTCTGAGTTTTGCTGAACTCAATGCGCTGCTGCTTCAGGAGAGGATTAGATACCATTGGGTAGTTTAAAATTTGTGCTAATAAAGAACTTTTGGCACCAGCTCTGGAGTAGTCTAAAGTTTATCAACTTCCTCCTAAAGTTTGTGTCCTGAATATCTAAGTAAATGTCATTCTTTGTGCTTTGGCACTTCTTTCTTCTTTTCTTCTTACCCAGATCATGTGCTGTGGTCTGCAAATACTGAGTTCTGGTTTATTTTGTACTTCTGACTTTACTGGCTGACCTTTGGGCACTCTATGAAGGAATCCACTGTCTGCGTTATTGTTCCTATTGTAGATTTGATCAATAACCAACAGGAAGTCACACCCAGTAAGGATGTCACTACTGCATAGGGACTCTGGGGTGTTTTTGGCCCTCAAAGAATGGTTGACAATGGAATTTTTGTTCCCAGTGGACAAATGCTGTGATGGATGTAACAGGTTCTGTGACATTTTCTCTGCTGAAGCAAGGAGGTGAACACAACACAGGGTTGCTGCTCCAGCTGTGTGTTCTGCCCTGGAACACAGGTTCCTGTGTTGTCAGAGAACTGTGGAACAAGTGTTTTCAGTCTAATAGTGTTCCTCAAAAGAGAACAGTGGTACTTATCCTGTTACAAGGAAATAAGCTTTCAATAATAGGATGTCTTTCTTACTGATTTATTTTCCTTTCAGAAAAGGGTTGTATGGATCATCTCTCTGAATGTTTTTCCTGGAAGAATGTATGTAATTCCATGAAGTGGTCAATTCCTGCCTTTCTTTACTTTTTGGATAACTTGATTGTCTTCTATGTACTGTCTTATCTTCAGCCAGTAAGTATACTGAATAGTGACTTCTCATGTCTTAGTGGGTAATACTGCTCTTAGGCTATCTGCCATGGTTAGCGCTGGCAAGGCAAGATTGTAACTGAGGCTGTCTCCTGTTTTAACGCTTGCAGGTGAAAGAATAATCTGTTAGCTTCCAATTCTCTTGCTCACTGGTCAGTGTTGTACAGCTTTCAGCAGAGAAGAGTCTATATTTTCTCAATCCAATGTGATTTAGAAATAGTGTGAAGTGCTTAAGAAGTTGGGACAGTTTTTGGTGCTTTTCCTCCTTTGCCTTCTTCAACTCTATATTTTTCTTTCAATCCATTTGTTTCTCCTACTATTATTTGAGCTGCACTTTTCTATGAGGCTTTTACCATTCCATGTATGTGACATGAAGTGAGTAAACATAATCTCACAAAAGGAGTAAGTGTAACAGAAACTGAGGAGGGGACAAAGAAAACTGACTTAATTTTTGCTTTTTTTTATTAGCTATGTTTAGGTACAAAATTTAGTTGGTACTTTCTTCTTGCTACCCTCATCCTTTTGGATGAACCTGCATATGCTCAGGAAATTGTACAGATTTTGTGCTTGCTTTTATTTTTGTATCGTGATACTTTTTGTTTCAGAATCTATGTTTGTAGTAAGATGGAAACAGACAGTTTGTGCTTGCTATAAAATACTGTGGCTGCCCCTGTTGAACATTAAAAATAAACAGTTTTCTACCTTTTCTATCAGAATTTCTCTTTGAAATATTATTCTCTTAGGTGTGTATTTCTACCAGGGACAGACCAGTCCAGAGTCTAGCATAGGACTCACCTGAAAAAACCTAATAAAATAGTCAGATATCTTAAAATAACATGCACAGCTGCTTGATTCTGTAGTTTGTTGTGTGGGGGTTTTTTGTTGATGGGATTTTTTTGGTGGTGGGGATGATTTTTGGTGGGTTGGGTTTGGTTTTTTGTTTTGCTTTTGTTTGTTTGTGCTTGTTTCAGTTTGTTTTGGTTTTTAGTTTTAGGAAGGAAATTCAGCTATAATATTAGTAGAAGCAAAGCCTGATGCATAGGAGGTTACATAAATGCTATTTTTCTCTTAAGCTATTTCATTTGGTTCAGTTAAAGTAATCCTTTGTAATACACTCAGCTTTTGTTTTGCATACACACACAGATATACCTTGTCTCTCTCCCCTCAGAGCATGTGCTCTAAGATTCCTTCTTTTAGAACTTTTAGCATCTTACAATTAGAGAGATTCTATGATGATTAGCTGAAACTGTAACATTATTATGATAAAGAAATAGTAAAAGAGATAACTAAATATCTTTAAGACAGAATAACTTGGTAGTGTACAAGACCATGAATGTGAAATGTGAAGATGCTTAAAAGGAAGATTGCTATACCTGACTAAACCTGGTCATGTGACTTTAAATACAAAGTAGTTTTGGGAACAAGTAGTACCTGGGTGAGCAGTTGCTGGTATTAAAGAGTTCCTTTGGTGAGATTTTTTTGCTTGAAACTTTGTGGATAATTTTTAGTGGCTGAATTTCCTAAGGATTTACCTTTTGAGATTTTGCTTGTGATGTGCAGATTAGTAGCATGGGGAACTTTGATGTTCATATTCCTTTTCATCTAGGACAGAGGTCTCTTGAGGTTTCAGAGAACAGAGTTACTCAAAATTAATTTTTTTAACTATCCTCCTAAAGATTTTGCTCGTAATGTTACCAGAGATGTTGGATGGGGGGCATTGACTGTAAGGCAAAACCAGAGTGTTCATGGAATACTTCTACATTTTGCTTAAGGGCTCTTTTTCCAGAGTGATTTCTGCCAGATTTCCTTGTTTATTCTTTTATTTTTTCTCCTTCCACAGTGTTCAACTAACATGAATATTTACTGAGTTTTAATTTTGCAAATAGATGCAAAATGAAGGTGTGTTTTCTTAGGCAGGTGTCTCATAGTCAGTAAGTCTTCAGCTTACTTGAGAGCCTGTGTTGTTGCTGTTTCATTAGAGTTATTGTTCAGCAGGACAGTATGTTGGGATAAAGTAGAATGAAGATAATAAGAAAAGAGTCTGTGCTTTTCCTCTGGTGAATGAAAAGGACACTCTATAGCAGCATTGGGAATTTGGAAATAATGAGAAAATTCAAGAAAAGGTCTGTGTTTTGTACTCCTGAGTCCATATATGCTTTTGTGTAAAATTGTCGAAAAAGGTGAGTTCACTCTGAGACTCAATTGGACCAAAAACTTCAGATACCTGGATCTTTTGTACATGTACTGACTGTACAGGGCAGTCTGGGATAACAGCCAGTTTGCAGAACACTCCCACCCTCAAAAAGAGGTTTTTTTTTTCCTAGTGGTGTTGATGGATTCTGGTCTTTACTAGTAACTGGAATGTTTAAAAGAGCCTCTTCTTGGGTTGATATCCCAGTATACAGTGTCTAATACAGAGACTAAACAGACAATCCTTGCTACAAGGAGTTTGCAGCTTGGGATCATGGCTGTGGCTTAGAACACTGAAGTTATTCTATAGTTATTCCCAAATTAAACAGAAGCTTTAGGGTTGTCTTCAGTTGTACTTTGAAATAGTACATTGAAGTACAATAGTACAACAACGATTTTTTTTTAAATTACAGTTGCAGTCTTGAAAATTCAAGCCAAGCACCTCTTTATCTTTGATATACTCTACAGCAAAAGCACTTGACGTACAAGAAGTTTGTTTTCTGAAAGTGCCTTGTCCAAGTCTGGAATGTCATAAACACTGCAAATGGCACTGCAGTCAGGAGTAGCCTCAACTTTCTTTATTCTTTGCTTATTCTCATTTTGGAGCAACTTCCTCCTTTGTGCCAACGCAGCTGTTTTTGCAGCTGACTGGTCTGCCCAGCTGGGGAACTGATCTGACTGAAAACTAAACTGTTCTCTGTTAAGTAAGTTTTCTGTTGCATTGGTTTCTTCACATCTTCATTTCAGTATAGCTTTCCCCACTGCAGTGGAGCTTGAGCTCTGTGGTTTTCCTGAGATATTGAAATGGGACTTGAATATCATTTTATAGGTGTGTTATTGTACCATTTGGGTGAGGAAGAAAATTCAGTACCTGTGCTTTTCACTCTGGCACCTTGCAGGAAGATGAACACTTGAAGTCTGTAGGCTTTTGGTGTCTACAGTGTGTCTAGAGTATAACTTTGTTCCTCTCCTTCTCTTTCAAGGCAATGGCTGTACTCTTCTCAAATTTTGTCATTATAACAACAGCTCTTCTCTTCAGGATAGTGTTAAAGTAAGTAGTATTTGCTAAAGTAAATGAAATTTAAATCTTCCTAGCTTTGATGAATTTATGTTTTTTTCTCTTTGTCTGATGGGAGCAGTAATTCTCTTTTCTTGTGGCTACACCAGCTTGGAGAGGTGGTTTTGTTTTCTACATCTGAAGGTGTAGGAAATAATAATGTTATTAGGAGTCCCTTCATATGTCTACACATTTGGTCAACTCTAGTAGAAAACAGTTGAAATCATGATTATATAGTCATCGAATGGTAAGAAGAAAGCTTTTATTTATACATTAAATATTTTATTTCATTATTGCTGGTACTTCTTACGAGTCTGTTGCAGTTCCTGATTGAGTGTAAACATGGTCTAGTAAGAGGAAATGAGATACAGACGAGTGAAAAATAGAGGTGTGTTTGGGTCATTATGCATCTGACAAAAGCCAGACTATGTGTTCCACTTGGCCGAATTTGTGCTCATTATAGTATGATTTAGATTCAAAAAAGGCTGTGAGGGAAATGGGTATTAACTTTACACTCTAAAAGTTGCTTGTGTTAAATATGGCATAAATAAGCCTTTCCTATAGGTGTTAATATGCCAAAACAGTGCCTGATAGTCTGACTAGAAATGCTTTTTCTCATTTTAGTTTTGTGTCTCTTGTGATGTCACAGTTCACCTAATCTTCCAAATTTTTTATTTTCGCAAAGATAAACAGGCTTTGTTTGAGTGGAAAAACAGTATAAATTATTCTAATAGTCTTAGGAATTACATTTTTAGATTTATAAGAGTTACTGTCATAAAATACTAGAAAAGGGCTCCAAATCATGGGGGAAAAGGGCAGTATAGGGAACGTTTTCCAAAGGAAGATGGTAATTATTTGGATGTCAGTGAATTATAATTTTTTTTTACTTTATTCATCAGACCTTTGTTGCCGTGGAGACAAGAGTTGCTTTTAAGTTGTTAGGCAGTCAGTATCTAGAAATAACGTGATCTTGAAAGGTCTTCTTTTTCCTTATTTCTTCAGAATACTTCATTTTGTACATCTTTGATTGCCAGACTTTGCCCCTTTTGCCCTAGAAAAGTGTGTCGCATTTTGGCACTTTACTGTATCAGAAAAGATTTTTCTTTACACATGTCTGTCTCCTTATCTGTGGCATGATGTCTCTTATATGTTTTATAGATCTGGATGTTCTGTCATTTAATTTATGCCACTGTGTTTCTAAATTTAGTGGCTTTTTTGTGTACCAGGCGAAGACTCTCTTGGGTACAGTGGGCGTCTCTGGTGATTTTATTCCTGTCCATCGTTGCCCTGACTCGAGGAACTGGAGGCCATCAGCACAGCTTGGCTGCACATGGATTTCATCACAATATGTTTTTTAGGCCATCTAACCACTGCCTTCTCGCTACTGGACCTGAGGAAGCATGCATGGAAAAGGGCAACTGCGCAGCACCAAGTTTCCTTCACAGCTTCCAGTGGAATGTGACCAGCACCATGGCAGGAGCACTGAAGCCTCTTCGCCTCAGCCTGGGCCATCTGCTTATTCTAGTGCAGTGTTTTGTGTCTGCCCTGGCTAACATCTACAATGAAAAGATGCTGAAAGATGTGGATCAACTTGGGGAAAGCATCTTCACACAGAACAGCAAACTCTATGCTTTTGGGGTGCTATTCAATGGGCTCATGCTGGCATTGCAGGCTAAGGATCGGAGGCAGATAGGGAACTGTGGCTTCTTTTATGGGCACAACATCTTCTCCGTGGCTCTTATATTTGTCACAGCTTTCCTGGGGCTGTCTGTAGCCTTCATCTTGAAGTTCCGAGACAACATGTTCCATGTAATGACTGCTCAGATCAACACTGTCATCATCACCACAGTGTCTTTTGTCATCTTTGACTTCAGGCCTTCTCTAGAGTTCTTTTTGGAAGCTCCTGTAGTGCTTCTCTCCATATTCATTTATAATGCCAGTAAAGCAAGAGGTCTGGAATATGCCACTCTGCGGGAAAGGGGAAAACTCATCAAAGGAGATGCATGGGAGAGGTCAAGTGGGGTAAGGCTTTTCAGTACTTGTCTCCTTTGGTTTCTCTTTTGTTTTACCTCCCTTTATGCGATGAAATATTTGAAAGAATCAACTTGTGTGTGACTGGACTCATCCCTCAACACCAAAGTTCTGCAGTATTTCTTAAAATCTTGGGTATTGCTTTCCATATGCCACTTTTTGAAATCATGAAGCCTAGGTAAGCATTGGTTTCCTGCTGCGACTGTAGACAGTCCTGTGAGCAACTTCAGCTTTGTACAAATCTTTTCTTGAAAGCTTTATAACCAAGAGAATTTACTTACCCAGGGCATTCAGAAATTGGAATTGATACCTGGGAAATAATTTTGCCTAAGTAGAACTGGTAAGTCTGTGTAGCTTAGGCCACGTAATGAGGGAGTTAACACATTTGATGTTAAGGTTCTTCCTACAATAGCAGTCAAAGATAGCTGAAGACAAAAAGACAATGTTTAAATCCAGAGTTTTAACGTGGTTTGGGGTTTTTCTTCTTGCTATATATTTCCTCCAGGCCTGCTAGTGTTGTTTGTTCTGATTTGAACAGTGATCTAGTTACCTAGAAGGTATCGGTGGACGGCTTGCTCTTAGAGCTGCCATTCAGCTGAGCTGAGCAGTCACCTGATGGGAAGGGTTCATGCTTGTGTACATCATGCCCGCAGGTACAGAAGGGCCGTGGATGCACATAGGAACCAGCAGAGAGCGCTGTCCCCACGCGGGCCAGCAAACATTAGATTTGGAGATGTTTTTCAGAAATTCCACATGGTGCCTTTTTAGGTTGTTGTTTTATGAGCAATAAATAAGACAAATTCATGTATTTTTGGTATGCCAGTTGTCATCTATTTTAGCACTTACAGCAAAGCAGCTGTTGTAGAAACAAATAGCACTATGTGAGCATGCAAAACCAGCTGTATCTTGGGCTGCATCAAAAGCAGTGTGACCATCGGGTCAAGGTGGGTGATTCTGCCCCTCTGCTCTTGCAAGAACCCACCTGTAGTACTGTGTCCAGCTCTGGGCACTTAGATCTGCTGGAGCGAGTCCAGGGGAAGATGATTGGAGGGCTGGAGGAGCTCTCCAATGAAGACAGGCTGAGAAAGTTGGGGATGTTCATCCCGGAGAAGAGAAGGCTCCAGGGAGACCTTCTAGCATCTTTTCAGTACCTTCCAACCCAAACCATTTTATGACTGTATGGAAGAATGGGCTACAAACCCTTTTAGGCAGTGAGTCACTAAAAGGTGTTACAGTTGCAGGGAATGTTTTTTAGGAGTATGTATTTTCTAAACATTATAACACACTAGTAAAAGATTTAAATTACAGGGTTTTTTTCTTTTTGATTTTTTTGCTTTTTTTGATTTTGCTTTAAGTGATACCTTCAGAATAAGCCTTACTCTTTCTTTTTTTCCCATGGTATTAATAACAAGATGACTTTTGCTCACATTGTTCTCTTTTGCTTCTGGTTCTTGTAGGATGGAGAAGAATTTGAGAGGTTGAACAAACCAAGCAGTGACATTGATACAGATGAAGATTCCCTCTAGCATGAGGCTGGCTCAGAGGCGTGCTATTACTCAAAGTGAGAGAGTTAATCTTTTATTAACATAGGAAAGGGTAATTTTTCCCCACTGACAGACTATTTGGAACTGTTTTGGGGCTGGATGTCAAATGTGGATGAGGACAATATTCAAGCTGTATATATGGAGAGTTGTATTCCTTTGTGCCTGTCTCCCAGTCTGGAGAAATGGAAATCTGGAATGCCATTGTAGCAGCTGGTGAATTTTATATGCAGCTTACGTGACGTAACTTTAAAAGAGCTTGAATAAAATACAAGTTTGTTAAACAGTATGAATGCATCATCTTTTTTGTGTGTGTGTTTAGAAAGGCTTTGTGTAGAGGCTTAGTTTGCACTGAGCACACTACTGAAAACAAGTATTATGCAACTACTGTAATGCCCTTCAACATCTGGAGCACTGAGAAAGAGAGTGCAGGTGGCAATATCATCTGGTGGTGTTCTACCCTGGCAGACTGATAAGGTCTTGCATTCATTTTGTAGAGAGAGAAGTCATTCTGCAGAGTGCCAGGCATAGTGATCTCAGAATTTCTGTTGAGGCATCTGCTGGATTTTGACTGAGATGAAAAATAGCTTCCAAATTATTCAGAGAACTTAGAAACAGGCAAGGGAACAGGGATGCCAATAAGGGATTCCTGGTATGTTTCTAAAGCCTCTTCTCTCTGAGCAGTGGAAAAGATCTTGGTTTATAATTTCCTCCCTTCAAAAATGTGTCTTTCATAGTTGAAAGATACTGTCAGAAGAATTCTTAAGATAAGCAATGAGTTCAGTGTCAGAGCCTCATACCAGAGTGTATAGTAAGCAGTAAGTGATGCATTTCTCTGGACGGAAGACAGTCCTGCCTTTGTTCCCCTCTACCATCCTTTCCAGGCTCTGTCTATAAAGCTTATGTGTACTGTATTGACAGCTGATTGCTATATTAACATACCTCCTGTCATTGATCCATCAAGAGGGGCAGCCTGTTTTCATGTGGCCCATGGTTTATAACTATGAAGTTACAAACTATGAACCTAAAATTTTTTTCTTTTTCTCTATTTTTAAAGTATATATTAAGAATAACTGTACAAAACTAAATTAATGTTGCTGAGGAGTTTTTTGCATCTAATTTCATTGTGCTTGTCTAGCAGGCTATTTCGATATAAGGAATCCTAGTTGTTTGCATCTGTACAGAATGAATAGAAGACATATTTCAGTGTAAATTCTGGAAACTCCATTGCTGCCATTGGTTTATGGTATTGTATTTTGGGAAATGAAACTTTAAAAAAATTCCTCAAACTGTTATAGGCTTAGTGGCAATAAGACTTTTTTCATTGCATACAGCTTTGCAATATATATCTGAGTTTGTTGTCTTTTTCAGTCACAGCTACCAACTTCAGCAGGTACTTTGAAAAAGAGTGAAAGTACTGTTAACTTTAGATTCCTTTGCATTTATGTGAGCAGTAACTTTTTACGTGAAGTTCCAAAGACCCTTGCCTTGCATCGAGTGAAAACACAAAAATCAGCCACGATCATACTTTTAAAGACAGAGCATCAAACCAGAGACGAATGTTTTAAAAAACATTTTTGATCTTTATGCCTGAAATACGAGCATTAAGAGACAGGAAATATGGAAATGACTGATCTTCAGCTATTATAAAGTGCATTTAGTTCTTGCTTTCAACTCTTGTCCTGCTTAATGATTTTCCTTTCTGTAAATTTCTCCAGTGCTATCATGCTTGACATATTTGCCAAAGTATAGATTGCACGGAGGTATTGGTTATATAACTGTTGATCGCTGCAGATTTGGTTCTGTCTAACACATAGAAATCTTCCTGTTGTCTTCAGGTTGGAGGTCTCAGAGATTATGTTGGATGGCCAGGCAGGTTTCTTGTTATAATGAAGGAGAACTGTATATCCCCTTTGCAGCAACAAGAATGCTAACTGATGTCTAAAAATGGGTAAGGATTTGCATCCACTTAGCAGTAACATAGGATAAATAGTAACCCAAAGCATAAGGTGCAAATCTTTGCAGCTGTGCTATCCATGGCAATGGTAAAATGTTGTGTGTGAGATTTGTTAGAGGAAGTGACTGAACAGTTGTCAGCTGGAGAGCAGCCCTGGTGAGCAAGGAGGAACAATTCTATAGAGTTACATTTTTCAGATAGATCATGTGAAATCCCACTTGATTAAGTATTTCCACTATATGGAAACTACTCCATGTTGGAAAGCTTAACTTATAATCACTCTAAATTACAATAGGGAAATTTATGAGGATGTTTTTGGAGAGCAGCATTAGTTTGGCACGTAGTCTTTAATGAATACACTGGGTAGAGTATTCATGCTAAGCTTTGATTTAGAGCCCAGATTCACAAACGTTTGAACTTAATTGCTGCTGAGGGTGTTACGTTCTTCCCTCCAGGTTTGAGGAAATAGTTCACGAAACATCCCAGGAAGAGAGATGTGTTCCTGTTTCTCTTGCTTGTAACAAGTCAATTAAAGAAGTATTTATTTAGGCTAATTTCATCTGTTATGTGAATAACATACTATGGATGAAAACAGCCATCTTGGAGATGGATCAAATGCCATAAGTATGTATAGGAAAAAAGCTTTTCCTTTATCATGTAGAATCTTCCCTCTAAGGTATGTTGAAATAGGACCTTAATCTCAGTAAGCCTGCCCTTAGAGTGATGCTGCAGGGACAGATCCAGTAATCTGGATTTGTTTTGCCAAAGGAAGTCTTCATTTGGAGAAATGTAACTCCTGAATGCTTATAGCCTGCAAGATACCTACATGTTGCTGTTGAAAGAATATTTTGGCTTGGTGTTCCTTCTGGCTTTGCTTTTAGTTTTCCGTAGGGAAAAGTAGGTTGCAAAATCAGGATTTTAAGTAATAGCTAAAAGTTTCTGGTGATTTAGAGTCATTTTGTAATGAAGGCAGAAATAGGTACCAGAATGTAGAATACAGAATCTTCTACAAATTCTGTGTATAGTTGGATGTGTAGTTTTGGTTAAGAGCCCATCCCCACCTCCCTTGATAAGTGGACAACTTGTTTGGAGTTTTATTTTTCATGCAACTCCCACTGAATGCCTAGGCTGGGTACTTGGCACAATTTGACTTTGAATTTCAGACAGGGATATTAAAAAAAAGGCCATTTGGATCAGGTGCTGCACTCTTTTTTTTCTTGTAAGTTAACCCTCCCAGCATAGGACATTTAATTTATGTGATTTGTAGTGTGAGTAAAAAGGACTTTCATTTAAAGACTTTACATGAAAACAGGATTACAGGAAAGTTTAAATGAACACCTGAAAGAAAATGCCCTGAGGGCATTTTTCTTTCTGTCTACAGGAGGTGCCTGTTAGGCGTCTGGTGTACTTTCCTCTGTTTTTGCTTTAGGCAAGGACATTAGGCAGCTGACCTTGTTACAGTGATGCAATGAGCTCTTGTTTTCTAAAAGTGAGCTACAGGACAGTCCATTTTCTTCTAGAAACCCTTCCATCCTGTGATTCTTTTTGTTTTTTTTAATTTCTCTGTCCTCTGCTTTCAGCTGTGGAAGTGCTGTCACTGAGAGCTCAGAAGCTCTCTGTAGGCAGCAGTCCTTTCAATCATTCTGTCAAATGCCTTCCCCCAGTTAGGTCCAGTCACCTGAGAAAGGTAAGTCAGAGCTGTATCCTGCGCAGCTACCTTGTGATAGGGAAGGCAGCCTGCCCCAGAGGGTGACCAAGTTTGCAAAGCTAAGGCCTTGTGAACATCTGTCTGCCTTTCTGACATTCAGAAGGGCAAGTAATGCCTGACCTTTTGTGACTTATGTTTCTAAAGAAAGCATCTGGTTTTGAGTGAACATGTTGCTTTAGCCGGCTTTGTTTTCATCTGGGGGGAAAAAAATCCGGAAAATGCCAGAAATCAAAATGCAGAGCATGCTCTGGCCAGCTTAGAGCTCTAGCTTCTCCTTGTTCTTGTGCTACTTCTGTGATGGTAATACCCAGTTTGAGTGTCCTGTTGTGTGCATCTATATGTGATGTGCACCCACACCATGGATTATAAAAAGAAATGTGACTGGTCAGGCACACCTTCGACATAAAGAATGACATGATATCTTCACTTAAAGATATTCCACAGTCTTTATGCTGCATCTTTAATATTTAGAAATCTAACCCAAAGGGTGTTGAAACCATGGCTGTGCATGCAGTTCTGCCACTGGTTTCAGTAGGGTAGGGTGATCTACAGCTCCAATGCCCAAAGACATCAATGAGAAGGGAGGAAAAAAAGCATTTCTAAAAGTGTAGCAGAAATAGGGATGGTTTAGCAGATTAATTTAATCTCAAATACTTTTATAAACATTTAATCCCAATCACTTTTATAGGGGAGGGTATGAGAAGAAGAGGTAAAAGAAAATTTGAAATTTAGAGTAACAGTTTAATTAAAAGCATTATTATAGAGAGCTAGTTACAACTCATTGAAAATATATTTGAATGAGATTCCTTTTTCTGATGAAAATAATGCTTTTCAGATTTCTCTATTTCAGACAGTGCTAACCCTGGTTGGTGTTTCCACTTACCTCTCATTAACTTGGATTTAACAGTGAGGTGGGCAGGACCTGAGAGAATAGGGACCCCAGCTGAAAGAATTAAATAGCCATGCAGTAAGCTTTGTAGTTAAGAACTTTACATTGTATTGTATTGGAACAAGTTATGCCATAGCCATAAATCTTATTTTCATTCATAAAGTCAGCTAATTACAATGGTAATGCACTGCAGAAGGGATGCTATCTCTTTAAACATGGTGTTTCAAAAAGATTTTATTAGTTTTGTTGTTATTATTAAAGAGCATGCCCCATGCTTCTTTCTTAAATTTTCCTTTTCTGAGAGAGACCTGAAGTGTGGTTCTTTTTCTCTTCATAAGCGTAATGAAATCTCACTTTCCAATAAATATACTCTTTTTTTTTTCTCCTTAGAAAAAGTAGTAAAAAGCACATTGTTGGACAGTTTTTTTCCTGCACTACTGTAGTGCCCATGGGCTGTGGGTTCTTTTTGTTTGGTTTTAATACAAACAGCACCTGCTGATGGTCTTCATTTATAAAGGTTTAAAAATATAAAGGAGTCTTTATTGTTTAAAGCTTCAATACTACTGGTTTGAATTGCTTCACTGTAAAGGCTTCTGCATTTTTTGAGAAGGCAAATGACCCAAGTTCCTTGATTGAACAGTAGAAGAGCAAGGCATGGATATCTAGGTGGCATGGGAAGATTTCTGCAACTGGCCACCTATTGCTTGGATAGCTATTGGAAAACAGACACGGGGCAGCCAGCGGCTAAGTCTCTCTGTTCAGTATGGATATCCATGGTGGTAACTTCCATGGTGACGGTAGTCATCTTGGTAACCTTCCTGGTAGCCCTGGTGGTAGCTGTGGTAGCCATACCCACCATACTCATCATCGGGGCACTGCATGCCCAGTGACTGCTGAATTGTCATTTCCTGGCGCCGCAGCTGCATGGAATCAATCAGGTCATACACAATCGCCATAGACCACATTGGAGAAGGATACCAGGATTTGACATTGCCATCTTTCCCCACTAGAAGCATGGAGAAATATTCTGGGCTAATTTGGAAATAATTCCGAATGTCTTTCACCAAATTAGCCGGGATGTCTTCTCGGTCTACAGTTGAGCTTCCTAGAAAGCGATCACATAAAATCAGCATTAATATTTTGTTTAGGCAATGATGATGGTTTCTAGGTAAAAAAATTAGCAACAGGAGACAGGATATAGC